TCTGACATCTGCTGGACCTACGGGTTCCCGATCCCGTTGCCATTCCCCTTCCCTTGCCCCATAGCCCTTTCTTATCGCCAGTGCCACATCGCTCGGGGTTCCTAAATGCAGCAATTAACTTAAAGACTACCTCAAGATATCCTAAGGAACGAAAGGAAGAGCGGGTCACTCAAGCGCAGAGTCCAAAGTCAGCCTCTAAGTAGTTGCACTTCCGACAATTACTGCAGTACTGTTCAGTCAGGATCCCGAAGACTGGACTTTCCCGGGGTGATTCGACTCCTTGGCTCCTGTGGGGGAGTTATCGTAGTCGAAATGATTGCGGTCAACTTAAGTCCTCATTTCTCAGGGTCATAGCTCGCTAAACATGCTCTTTACTTTACGAACCCTCTTATGGGACTTACTTGATGGGTTCTTCAGTTGGTTTTACATAACATATTGATTTTATGTAAGCCACATTCATGATATGTGTTATGTAGATCTTTTGGATCTATGCGATTTCATTTGGTAAACATTTAGAAGGAACTTCGGCACAACATTCGGAATTAAGATCCTTAAAATCGGTTTTCATAAACTTGAGGCACAATAGTTTGTTGTGTTTTCTTAACACTTACATTTAATTTTAAATGTTTTTAACAATGTTTTTTTAATTTTATTTACATATATCACACACGCTTACAACATTAAATTTTTTTATTTGTATCGTTACAGCAAACACAATTGGTACAGTTAGTTCCCTTGGTTTCAATGGTGCTCTTCAATATCGAGTACATGCAAATCATGTTTTTATTGATTGAGGCTGTCCATCGAACAAAGCCGGCATTAAAAGGCCTAAAACAGCTCTATAAAACTAAGTAAACATTGATGCGAAACATACCCAAAACCGAATACTACCACCCCCTGGATACGTGCTCGAAATTAAGAAATTACAATGCGATGGCACAAAACGTCGCATGGCCAATTAAAGTGCACTCGTTTTGGGTCTATCAAAATAGTAGGATCAACTTGCATGAAGCGATAAGCAAATACCAATAAAAAGGACATCAGTTCGGTTCGTTTGGAAGGGTCGAAAGGTGTGGGATGATACGGAGTACGGGATGGAGCGTCATCTGGCTGATCGGTTCGTGTTGGACAATTTAATGCAATTAGTGCGATATGCGATGGTCAGTGCTTCGGTGTTTCGGGGCATCTCTATCGGTATCGGCACTCTGTATATTCCATATCGGTAATTACATAATTACAGCGCGTGTCCCCGGAATCGAAGGGATGTACATGCTGTTTTGTACATGTATCCTCCCTCTCTTCAGATCAGAAGAAGGTGGCACATGTCATATGCCGCGGCATTCCATTCTGCGATTCCGATTTCGATTTCACCCGGCTGATTAATGATATTATGTAATCCCATTAGGGGCCTTTCGGCCTCGGGGCAGTAAAAATGCCTGTAAAATGCAATCAACCGCAATAATCGCGAAAAGCGAAAATCGCACAAATCGAAAGCAAAACATTAGGCGCCTAATGCGACTTAGCCCAAAAATGGGAATGAGAATCTAGAAATTGAAATGAAAATGGAAAAAGAAATGGCAATGGCAACGGAAGGCCCAAGAAAACCAGACCAACGACCTACTTCAATGACGATGTGTTAATTTCGTTTGATTGACATCTGTCGGGCCGCAGGACTACGATCCTCATTCCGGCAGATTCTTCCTTAAAAAAAGGAAATGTCCCATCTCTTGACTTGTCATGTAAATCTCAAGGATGTTGTTGCGGCTGGCCAAGCATGACACTACATATTTTCGAGAATTTCGGATTTTCGGCTTTCGTCCTGGGGAAGGACATACCTCACGTCACAGGACATTGTCCCGATTGAGCTGTCAGCGGATGACGGGGCACAAAATCACAATTAAAAATTCAAGAAGCCAAAAACACCAGATAAACAACTATTTGCTGTCCGAACTTAAAACAGATACCACCCATATCTTTCGCATATGAAACAAGGACATCAAGGACACGGAGCCAAAACTTTCTTCCATTTTTCCCAAAAGACAGATGCAAACTTGGCCAGTAAAAAAGAGCAAAGTCGGCAGGGGAAATGTAATTTAAGACACTATGGCATTCATGACGTTTAAATTTCGCAAATTGTCAAAAATTATTGCATTCGATATGCAGCGAACAAAACGCAGATAAAGGGAAAATTGTGCAATGAAGCCGACAACATTTTGCATGCATTGCTTTTAACCCTTGAGTGAGGACAGGAGGTCCTCTAATCACTCGGAAAATGCCACCCATCCCCGCCTCTTTTGCGAACTTCTTGAGGAGTGTGTGAAAAATTGATAGACTTGTCAGTTGGCCCTCGCCGGCGGGGTGGCTTTCCCTTGCGCCCGTTGTCCTCCTTCTCATAAAGTTGCATAAATGTCAGCCGACTGTCATGACAACCTCTTGTAAACGCCCCATAATTTTTATTATTAATGGACTCGGCCTGCCATAATCGATGAGCGGGTATATCTTATATCTGCCATCGATTTCGCATGCCGAAAAGAGTTGGCAGGGGTTCTGTTTTACAGATTGCCTGCATACCCATACGTTTTTATTTTTTATGGTCCTTTACTCATGTCTTTAAATTGAAAGCCCCAGATCATCTTTTTCAACCCAATATATATATTTTTTATACAAAGTATGTGCCTTAAATAATGTAATGGTATTGCCTCCCATAAGTAGAGATTATGCTTATTTTACCTTGACACAGTACTTTAATTTTCATCATTAAGCTATCTAATTCTTAAAAGCTGGAAAAGGTAACGATTTAATTTATGCAAAGTTTTAAACACACGGTTTCCGGTAAAACTTACAATTGTAACGAATAAAATTTAAATTATAGATAAATATTTATCGGTTCGAGTCTGTGCTTACACCAGCAAGACTCCTTACCTAATTATATGTTATCGATATATCGGTTCGGTTCTGCGCTATAGGCATCGAAGTTCCTTACCATCCGTGTAAACAGCAAGCATGTTCCGTAAAATCACTGTAGAAGGCTCAGGCTATGTATGTCAACGCTAGATGTCGCTGACAATTGCTTGTCACCTACATACATTATTGCGGACCCAAAAATATGCAAAACTTTAATAAGAAACAATTTATTTGACAGTGGTTTTTTAGCTGACCAATCGCAATAAATACACCTAGGAAAATTTGTTTAAAAAAAAAAATGTATTACCAATTAAGAATAAAATAAAATGTCAATTTCATTTAATAGTAATTAAAATACAAAGTCTCGCATCTGCTCGTCGAGCAAATTGTCTATTTTCAAGAATTTCTTATTTAGACACCAGGCGAACATAAACGTTTAGCAGGTGTAAGAACGAACAGCTGATTAGTTTTATCTAAGCTTATTTGGAGATGGCATCGTGATTGCTTCCCCTACTCACGACCTAAGCAAATACATGGGACTTAACTGTTATTTCGTGCATATCGGGACAAGCTCGTGATAAACTCGTGAAACAGTCATGTTTGCTCATCTCTAGCTTGCGTTTGGCTCACAACTAACGGTTCTTTCCCATGGAGATCAATGCCCATTGGTCAAAAGAGGGAGGGGAAATATGTAAAGGGCCGCCATCTTGAAAATTAACAGTTATTTAAGTTTAAATTTAGCAACCACCTGTCACTTGCTAAGTTTTCTGTTCGCCTGGTGTCTGAGACCTATAAATCCACCACTTTGACTGAAAATACGTTTCGAATCCTTTCAATTTGTTGAAGTAAACTAGCTAGTTTTCAATTTCAAACACCAGGTGAACAGGAAAATTAGTAGGGGGCCAACGATTAGTTTTTAAAGCCTTACTAGAGGTGTGCCACTTCAAAATATGTAAGGCCTTCTGTTGCTGTCCAAGCGTTAGCCCACCTCTAGTCGGCTACACTAAATTAACGGTTCTCTTCCAGTAAGAAAATGTTAAGGCCCAGCAACTACCTGCTACGGATTATGTTGGCCTGGTGTCAAAGATCAAGAAATTAAATTTCAGACCTTATTCAAATGTCAACTATTAGAAATAATAAAAACCAAAATACCTTATCTGCTTGCGAGAAAATACTTAAATTGGCTGATTTCTTAATTTCAGACACCAGGCGAACATAAACGTTTAGTAGGTGTAAAACGATCAGCTGATTAGCTAAATCCAAGCTCACTTAGAGATGCTCACGTGATTTCTTATTTTTGGCACGGCCTAAGCAAATACATAGGACTTAACTGTTACTTCGGTCATATCGTGACAAGATCGTGACAAGCTCGTGACGAGCTGGTGACACAGCCTTGGTTGCTCATCTCTGGTCAGCATTTGGCTCGCAACTAGCGGTTCTTTCCCATGGAGATCAATGCCCATTGGTCAAAAGAGGGAGGGGAAATATGTAAAGGGCCGCCATCTTGAAAATTAACAGTTATTTAAGTTTAAATTTAGCAACCAGCTGTCACTTGCTAAGTTTTCTGTTCGCCTGGTGTTTGATACCCATAAATCAAGCACTTTGACTGAAAATATGTTACGAATCCTTATAATTTGTTGAAGTAAACTAGCTAGTTTTCAATTTCAAACACCAGGTGAACAGGAAAAATAGTAGGGGGCCAACGATTAGTTTTTAAAGCCTTGCTAGAGGTGTGCCACTTCAAAATATGTGAGGCCTTTCGTTGACGACCAAGCAAAAGCTCACCTCTAGTCGGTTTACGCTAAACTAACGGTTCTCTTCCAGTAAGATTATGTTAAAGTCCAGCAGCCACTTGCTGCGGATTATGTTTGCCTGGTGTGCAGATAAATTTTTTCAAGAAAATGTATCCATTTCAAGTTCATGCTGCGCCCAGATGTAGGCAATGAAAAATAGGTAATCTCTGCATTTCATGGCAGAAAGTAATGGGAAATGGTACAAATATGCAAAAAACATAATTACTTGTTTAGTCTCATAAAAACGACATATTGAAACGAACACAAAGTATTTTTGGATAATTTATTTTAATATTTATTTCTTAGGGTTATGAAAAAAAATCACTTAATAGTTAGATACTAATACTAAGCTGGGACCGCTACAACTATAGATTCGAGTGATTAGTTAACTGGTTAGATTGCGAGATGCACTTATCAGCTAATACATTTTACAAATATAACGTATACTGCAAGGACTTAAAGTACTTAAATGCGAGTGTGGCAAAAAAAGAAAGTTGAGCCCCCTAAACTATTCACAGATAAGCTGACCCAAAAAACAGGATGTAGTATGTGTGTGTACGGTACGATTCGGATCTTCGCGTTCAACGCATCAAGAGAGGAATGGACTTTTAGGCGGTGGCCACTTTGGCGGACGTGAAGGCGGCCAGCTGGGCCTTGAGGGCGTCGATCTGGCACAACAGCTCGATGTTCTGGCGCTCCAGATAGGCGGCCCTGATGGCGATCTCATCCTCCTTGATGCGGCGACGGTCGCGGGACTTCTTGGCGGCGGCGTTGTTCTTGCGACGCCGCTCGTAGTAGGCGGCATCCTTCACCTGGCTGCCCGAGCTGATGCCCGAGTTCACCCCGGTGGTGTTGGCCAGGTTGCTGGAGTTGCTGGCAGAGGACTTGCCCTCGAAGTTGCCCGCCTGGGAGTCGCAATCGCTGGACTCCTCAGCCGCAGCGCGATCCTCGCTTTCGCTGTTGTTGTTCGAAGAACTGCCCTCGTTCACGGATCCGCTCCTCGAGTTGGTCCTGCGCATCTTCGGGTTGGTAACAGTGCGAGATCCTCCGTTAGAGCTGCGGATCTGCTCGAGCACCCTCTTGCGGTACTCGGTGTAGCGCTCCACTCGCGGATTGTCCAGCAGGACATCGGTGGCCGCGAAGTTGGCAGCAATGACCAGGGGATCCCGGGGAAAGGCCTTGAAGGGGCGAGTGTTCTTGCCCGTCTCCCCACTGCCGCTGGGGGCTGAGGTGGTGGGCGTGGTGGCCTCAACAGCCGGCGATTGGGGATTCTCCAGGACATCTATCTGCATGGTGCTGGCATTGCTGGCTGGTCTGGGTGAGTTGGTCGACGAGGTGGAGGAGGCAGCAGCAGCGGCGGCTGCAGCAGAAGCGGCAGCAATGGTCTGGAGGAGGCTAGCGGTGGGTGTGACCTTGCACGGGGCAGCAGTGGGCGTGGCCTGCTCCTGCTTGATGTTGCTGTAGTAGAAAGCGGGGTACAAAGAGGCCAGTTGCTGTTGCTGCTGCTGTTGTTGCTGCTGCTGCTGTTGTTGCTGATGTTGCTGTTGCATCTGGGCGGCATACAGCAGATTGCTGGTGGGCGAGGCCGAAGGGGAACCGCTGCCATAGCTATAGCTGGTCTGGTAGGGCGAGGGAGTCTTCCTGGGCGTCTCCACGCTGTCGCAGCGACGGGAGAGATCTAGGACCTCCGCAGAGGAAGCCTGTTGCTGATGTTGCTGGTGCTGCAGTTGCTGATGTTGCTGCTGCTGCTGTTGCTGCTGGCTGAGGGCAGCACCCAGCAACTGCTGCTGGTAGGCATAGGCCGCATACAGATCCATTTTGGGAAGGCCCAGGGATCCCTGGACCGGCAATTGGCTGTGCGGCAAGTGGTGCAGCGACTGCTGCTGGTGGTGCGTCTGGTGGTGCTGATACTGGTGGTGATGCATCAGGGGCTTGCGATCTGAAGAGATTGAGAGAGAGGGGATTCGTTAGTTTATAGATCGAAGAGCATCCAGGGGGCGTGGCTAACTTACCGGTCTTGAGATCGAAGAACTGCCCGGCCATGAGTTTCTCGTGCATAAGCATGGTGTTTGGTATATGAGGTTCTGTTTCCTTTTCTGGGGTTAATCCAACTGAGCGGTGGGATGGCTTTGTAGACCGATGATCTGACTTTGCTTTTGCTGCTCTTGCTATATCTTCACGCTGACGATGTCGAACGCAAACTGATTTCCTCTCGTCGGAACCCCCTGAATTTATACCCAAAAACCCGGAGGCTGCGCCGACGCTTCATTCAGTTGGAAATGGCGGACACGAGCGGCCAGCCGAAGCGGTACGAAGCAGGTAGGCGGTTCAAAGGGCAAAGGGGTGATTCTGATTTCTCGCTGTCCCACTCTCTTCTGTCGCCCTCTCTGTCGCACCGCCTTCGAAAGGGTTTTACGAGGGTGCGGCGACTGCCCTTTCCTCCTTTGGTTTTCGCATTTTTCGCAAAAATCTTAAGTCTTTGTGCTATTGTTACTTCGCCATTTAGCGTAATTTAACAAAAAGTAAAAAGAGTTTTCGAACTTTTTTTATATTATCGGTTCCCGCGAAAGGATATGGTTTTTTTCGGGGGCTACAATGACGTTCAATGAGGAAAAAACGGGAAAATTCGTACCACCTCTGAAGTGATTTACTTCGTTTTCATAGAACTGGTCTATAAATATTAGTACTTACATTGCATCCATATTAAATGTCAGGATTCTTAAGCTGGAAATTGTGTGTTATGGGTAATCGATTGCAGAAATGAGTCTATAACTCATTGTGATTTCTTGAATTATAGATGTGGTTATACGCATCTGCAATTTAAATATCATTTTTTATTAAAATTGTATATAGAGTTACAGAATTTGAAAACCCAAGAGCGTATCCTAACCAAGGAAACTTTATTCTCAAAATAGTAATAGACTGGCAATCTAAAAATAAGACAATATTTATTTTTATAAGGCTCTTATGGTAAAGTATTTCAATATTGAGGGATATAAGTACCATCACATTCTGCTCATAAGTAAATTGTATAAGTAAATCATACGGGTAAGTTTCTAGAACATTTCTCATATTAAGGCTTATATTAATTAGGGCCAAATCATACATTTCTGACCAGAAAGAGAGGCATCTGGCTGAGGAAAAAGAGACAGAATACGGTTTGTTGATGATGGATGCACAATGTTCAAGGGTTGCGAATGCTAAATCCGTTTTGTTTTGCGCTTTTGTCCTGAAATCCTTTTCCTGACCAGCCCATCCATCCATGTATCTGCGCGATGGCGAATTCGGTGGATTGTGCGTGACAAATTATGGAAATTAGGTCGAGTTCTGGCGTTCCTGCAGTTTCTCAGCCCTTTTCGGCTGGCGTAATTCGCATCCTTTCCTCATTTCGCTAGAGGAGAATCGGGTTCTTGGAATCCCGACAAGGACACTCGCCAGTCTGGCCATTTGATTCATGACGCCGCCACCTCGACGATCGAGGATCGAGAATCCAGAATCCTGGATCATTGCGACAAGTGTCCGTGATGTTGACTGTTTTGTGTTCGTGTTTGTCCTTCTCCTTAAACATCCTCGATGCATTATCCTTTATCCCTTTGGCTTCCGCTGCGGCGTGGGATCCTCAACAACTTGTTTAACTTTGCTTAACTGTTTGTCCTAACGGTCGTTTCGATGGCCAACGGAAGTGGCTTACGGCGAAATGTTGGCTATATCATCTATGGATAAGAAATCTACAGGATGCTTACTAGTATCGGGTCTATGAGACTCCAAGATTAACTTTATATTCAAATTAAATTTGTGACGGATCACAGAAACTCTATTGAAATATATATTTAGTCTTAAAATTCGATTTTAATTTCAAATATTTACTGTTTTAGAATGGTCCAGTAAGAGGTTCAAGTCACGACATTAACAAACTTCAAGATGAAGTACCAATAGTAAGCATAAGTCAGTTCAAATTTCACCAATAAAACCTACCTTAGATTCATTCTGCCAATCTCATTAGATTTCCACTTGCACCTTTTCAAAATTTCATTCATTCACTTTTTACAACTCTCCATTCAGCCGGATTTTGCAAATAAAAAGAGGGATCGATCCAGTAATCAGTAAAAAACCGCGAACTTATCCGCTAATCCGTTCGCTAATCCAACCGTAAAAATGGTGGATTAAACTAAAACTCGGTCTCGTCCACGTCATTGAGTCGATCCACTACCTGAGGTCCCTGGGCTCGAAAACAGATTCTGGCCGTATATAAAACATATAACCGAACCCAACCCAACCGATCCTGAACAGATGCCATAAAAAGTCGCGGCCGGAGTCGAAGCCAAAGAGTTGGCCAAATTCGCTGTAAAAACCAGATTCAGCGAAAAGAAAAAACTTAAAAAACGGAGTGCCATAAAACCATATATTCATATATTGGGACTGCTGTTGCCTCGTCATAATGAGCTCCGAACTAAAGATGCAATATTTGTGCAATCCTTTGAGTGGTGACCTTGAGCGCGTTTTTTACGGAATTATCTACCTGATTCCCGAACGGGTTGCCCGCCCACTAAATACGGTATAGGCAATTGCCTAAAAAACATCAGGAGTTTTATTGCATAATGGACGCTTCGTGCGAAAAGGCCTCATTCCAAATCTGAATTTGAGATCTAGGATCCCTGGAGAGACCGCTGCCGTTTTTTAAAAAGCCATAAACTCAAGTTTCGGACATCGGTGGTCTTTTAAAAAAGGGTTCTCTCCCCTGTTCATTGTGGGTGCGATTTTTATATTGGTTCGCTGCTAGGTGACACAAAGAAAATCAGCGACTAATTGACTGAAAGGGGTTTCGCCTTATATGACCCGGCAGGAAAAAGGGTGAGGAGTGGTTTGGACGTGGATTTGGACACGGATTCGGGGAATCGCCGTTAACTCCTTTCGCGGTCCTTTGTCTTAATGGGTTAACAGTCTCACATTGGAATCCATCATTTCAAACGGCCCTATGTCGTAAACGAAAGTTAGAAGAAACTTATCGAATATTAGGAGGGCCATTTTGTTTCTCCGAAATGGTACGATTTCAACCCTAACAAACGCCAGGGCCCTAAACATATTTTATTCAGATTAAAATATATATGAATACTAGTTTTTCCCAAGAAAATATGGCTTACTTATCTCATTCGATCAGAATATGTTCATGATATATCACTTTTTATAACATAATGCTACGTTCAAACAAGTTCCCTACATTCATTCAACTTCCTCTAAAACCACTCCTTCTTCGAGGACCCTTCTTTCATCACAATTGATGAAATAAGATTACTTTCAAATGCATGATTAGTTTGGCCGTCATTCAGTTGATTTTCGGCCACGATGGCCGCCTAAGCCCATAAGGAAAGGCACTTGGGCCCGTCTATATCCCTATATCCTGCGATGCTAATGAGGAAGTAAGTAGTCGGCCGGCGAGGAAGTGAACGGGGATTACACGTGCTCCTCGAGCGGACAAAGGATCCTCTCTTCCCGCTGCCGAGTGTTTGGGCTAAGCGAAAAAGACTAACCAGGATCGAAGGATCGGAGATCGAGGACCCAGGATCACTTGTTTGTTTTCCTTGGCATATGCAAAGTGCACACTTGCAAAGGATAATGGGAACAGGTATTGCTCTGAGGATTTACCTTGGTCACTTCCGCAAACGGAAGTGCACAGCACGGCAAAAAGAACGAACCCCCGACTAAAAAAAAGACACAAGTTAAGTACTCAAAGGGAACCCACAATGGCCGTAGCTTCCGTCGTCAAATCCTTTGGCTAATTGTTATCCTATGGCTCCTAATCCCACGTCCAGCAAAAGGCTGCTCAATTATGGCATCTCTATTTAATTGAAAGACGTCGAGCCGCTCCAAACGGAGTCCTCCATTCATTCCTGACCAGCCAACCGAAAAGATCTCGAGCAGAGCTCAAGTCCGGAATATAGGAAGACAGAATGCAAGGCAGTATTGCATTACTCTATGCCAATTAGTGCGGTTTTGATTACCGAAATGACATTTGCCCAGAGACTTTTAGAGGTTACAAATCCCCTTATCTGCCGAACCGCATCTTCGAAAATGGGGCGACAACTAGTCTATCGTATTACTATCTAAAGTTTGCCCAGGCCAAACAATACAACTCAATGAACTTTAAATATATGTAAATATTGAACTTTACATACTTGGTGTTGAAATGCAAGTATGTTGTGTGTGGGGGCGCGATGGGTTCAAGGTTCTGACTCAAGATTAGGGTGATCGATCAATCGATCGATGGGGAGACCGGAGACCCCACACAACAATAGTGCCATATAATAGTCGTCAAATCGCCACACAAAGGTCTCAACGGCCGAGTGCTATTTAAATGGGCAAAACTAACTTGCTACTTCCTTACGCCATCATTGTGACTATTGTCGTCTTGTCCCGTTGTCAGGAGCCCAGAAGGATGTCTGAGATACAGGGGATCGAGGCGATCGAGGGGTGTGTCCGTGTCTACGCCCATCGCCATTCGAAAATGCTCGGGTTGGGAAAATACCAGCACTCACACGGGACAAGCAAAAGAAAACTGTCCAAAGAAAGCCACATTTCACGGATGATTTCAGTGTGGGAGATCGCTAGTTACACTGCTAGAAATATATTTGACAGTTCTCTTTTTTTTCAGATACTTATTTCTAAGCCCAAAAATATATTTTACCTGAATTTTTTATTTCTAAGTTAATGGAGACTTTAAAATTTCAGGTAGTAAATGTATTTTTTTTTAAAATAAATTTTCGTCAGGCGGATATTTTTTAATTTTAATTTGCTTCAGAGACATTTAAGTTATGTGCAGTGCATTTTCGTACCGCTATGGGCCACGATTGCAGGGTATTCACCACTGATGGAATATTCATTTTGCATGCATCATTCGTTTTGATGAACTGTCAACGTTTAGGCCATTGTTCCACAACTCGGAACCGTATTCGGTATCTATTTGTGTGAGAACCGCTTGGGGTACAGTTATGTGCGGAAAATGTGAAACATTTCTAATAACTCAGAGGCCCTTATGCTCCTTCCCCTTCCCCTTTTCCATTTCCAATAATCCCCTTTCATTGCTCACTTAATTTTATGCATTTTACTGTTGATTAGCTTCCACATCCTCCATTGTCAGCGGACGGGCACCGTTAAGGGTTATGGGTTAGGGGTTATTCTGGAGTTAATCAAAGTGCCGGGGCGTAGAGCCCTCATAAAAAGAGTTACGATCCCCCGAACTCTTTCGAACGGTTTCGAACCCACTCAATCTATTAAGGGGCCCTTGAAATTTTCACACCTTTTTGCGGGAGTGTCCTTTCTGCTGCACTTCTTTTTGTCTCATTGTCTGATTTGCGGCCAAAGCCGCCTACGAAACCCCGTTAGAATAGCTACTGTTAGGCCCCCACCTCTTCAGATTCCAGATTCCAGCTTCTAGATCCCGGATCCCGAGATCATATTGTTGGCCAGGACAATTGCTGTCAAAATGGCATTGCAGCGGTTTGCGGATTTGGCCGTCCTGGTAATTGTGTCAATTGTCAGTTCGCACCATCTCTTAACTCCCATCAGCATATAAAGCATATCCATCCAACACGATCTCTCTGAGGAACCCTGAACGGATGCTGCCCAGATACAATCGAAATCGGACGAAGAACGGGAAATCCTGGAACGGAACTGAACGGAACGGTCCTAAGCCTCATTCCGCATAACTCTTTCATAGAGTGACTCTTGGCCAACTCGTAATATGAGCACTTAACCCTGTAAAGTCTTCGTCTCAGCCACGCCCATTGTATCCCAGTATCCGAA